GGTGTCCGGGTCCGGGGTTACCATGAAAAAAACAAAACGAATGAGCTTCTGAAAAGAAAAAAAAAAACAAAGGAAAAAAAGTGAACGGGCAGAGAGGAGAGACAGCGAGAGAGAGAGAGTCGGCGAGTTCATGTGAGAGAGAGAAAGAGAGAGCACAAACGCACCAACTCTCTCTCTCTCTCTCTCTCTCTCTCTCTCTCTCTCTCTCTCTCTCTCTCTCTCTCTCTCTCGCGCGCGCGCGCGCGCGCCCGTTGTATTGTAAAAGTCAGGAAACCATCTTCCCTCGTTTGCGGGTAGATTTGTTCCCGCTGTGAACATGAGGACTGCGGGGGGGGGAGGGGGGGAAGAAGTCAGAGAGAGAGAGAGAGAGAGAGAGCTGGCGCGTGCAACGCGCTGGCTCCAATGCTCTCTCTCTCTCTCTCTCTCTCTCTCTCTCTCTCTCTCTCTCTCTCTCTCTCTCTCTCTCTCTCTCTCTCACCACGCCCGTTTTCCCCTTTCATCATTTTTTCCACTTTTTTTGTTTTTTTTGTTTTGGTCACTATTGGTCGTTGGTTCACCGACCCCCGTCCGACACGGCGCGTTAACGGCCGCGTCGGAAATTTTTAACAGGGCAAGATACTGGTGGTTTAAAAGTCTGTTTTGTTTTCGTCCACCTCAAGGGCATATGGGCAAGCGGCACAAACAAAGTGTGACCCTGCAAGGGATGGGTTGGCCCTAAAAGAAGGCTTTACGGGTGAAAGGCTCAGCCACTTTTGGAAAACATCTGGCCAGGCCAAGTAGGGAGGGGTCAGGAATCAACAGCTGGTGGGTGTGCCGGTAGGCCGTGGCCACATCTGGGAAAGAATGGAAGGCATTGCCTACCTGCCCATCAGTGACCCGGCATGAGGGTAAAGGAAGAGACCAGGCAGTCTGACATAGACTCCAGTCTGACAGAAGCCGCCAGGCTGCTTGATCACGGAACCTGAGGGAGAGAGTGAGAGGTCATGCAAGGAGGGAAGGTCCTTGGAGGAAGGCGAAGGCCGTAGGGAGAGAGAGTTGGCCAGGGCCTTACCCGCTGGTCTCCGAGAGGAGCTCCACCAAAGTACTTTGTTCGTTCAGGCAGGGTGGGAGTAGTATTGTCCTCTGCCGCATTGTGTTGCCGTGGTGCAGGCTAGGGTAGTAGATAGAGTAGCTTATCTCAAAGGGTGGTAGACAGACCAGCGAGAGCGCAGATCTATTATTGTATCGATTGTTGGGAAGAGAGCAGAAAGCTTTTCATCATTAAGAGACTCCAACACTGTCTTGAGGTGGTGTGATCGTTGCTGGATGTTCAGGCCGCTCCATCTGCAGCACAGCTCAAGACTTCATCTTTTTGCTGGTCAGCATCTGGCTATGCGCATGCCCAAAAAAGGACCTAAGTGCCCCCAATTTTGTTTTTGAATTTCCTTTTTGGGGGGCGAATCTGGACCTACCGGACCAGACCCCAAACCCGGACCCAGACAGCCGGAATGTCTGGATCCCGATCCGGACGTCCTGCTGGTTACCATGGTCAGGAACCTTCGCCGAGTACTCAGTAAGAAGCTCCACTGAGTACGCACTGAATGGTCACGACGTCTGGTGAGGAGCTCGATCACCAATCTTCACCAAGCACTCCGTCAAAAACCTTCCTTTGCCAAGTACCCGGTCAAAAAACTTCCGTCAAAAACCTTCCGTCAAAAACCTTCCTTTGCCAAGTACCCGGTCAAAAACCTTCACCAAGTACTCGGTCTGAAACCTTCGCCGAGTAATCGTTAAGGGTATTATGGCATTCGGTGCTTGCTTCGACTGCGACTGTACGTCATTCACGAGCATGCGAGGATGTCAGAAGAGGGGGGGGGGGGGAAGACAACGGAGATCAAGGAAAACAGAAAAAGTATACGGAAGGAAAGGCTAATAGAAAACCTTACCTAGGAAAACGAGCATATACAAAACCGCATCGATGACAAGAAGGCACATAAAACTCCTTTTCCGCCGGAGATAGGCATCAGATTCAAACGGGTTGGCCCGCCCCTCAAACTCCGTTGTAACGACAGACTGGTATCGGTGCGAAAATGTTGCCGTGCTTTCATCCTCCATCCCCGCATCCATTCTCATCGGCATGATGATGTGAGTGGCTGACAGACCAGGCGCCCGGCCAAGTGATGCTGGCGCTGCTCGCACATGACGATAGCCAAATCCATGCAAATGTTTAGGAAGGGGGTGAAGAGGGAATTCATGGCCAATCTTGTCTGGTGGAGAGGAAGTGTATATGACCAACCAATCTCTGGGCACACACACCAAAGTGAATTCAACTTTGGAGTTTCAAATCCAAAGAACTTCAATCAGTCAAAATTTTGAGACAGCGCTGAGAACCAAAATTGAACTTTGAAATTTCACCTGCCATCAACAGATTGCTTGGCTACACTAAAGAGCATATTCTAATTTTACGGCAAAATTTACGCATAATTTTCGTTTTATTTATTTATTTATTTATTTATTTGTTTTAATGATGATACTTCCAGCGCTACATTCTGGACAAGTGCACTTGGAGATTTATAAAATACTAAAATGTGACATAAAACGGGATTAAGCTCAATTAACAGGGTTTTTTTTTTTTTTAATTAACAGGGTTTCTAATCCATACCAGACACCAAAGTGATGCTTGAAAAAATAGAAAAAAGAATTGATTGCTGTGAGTAACCTTTCTCGATGAGCCTGCGGCCTTTGGTTTGTTACGCCTTCAGCATTGCAACAGATTGCTTTGTCATTGAGGGATTGGATCATCGAAGGCTCTATTTTAAAAAAATGAAGGGGAGAAAAACCATCTCCGGCAGTTCAAAGCCACATTCGTCAAAAGCATCCTGAGAATATAGGCAGATACATGCCACAAAGCCTTCCTGTGGGTTTGCTCTAAGCTAGAAAAGCTTACCAGAACGGCATATTCCAACATTTGCTCTCTCTCTCTCTCTCTCTCTCTCTCTCTCTCTCTCTCTCTCTCTCTCACACACACACACACACACACCTGTCTCTTATACACATCTAGATGTGTATAAGAGACAGCACACACACATACACACATACGCACATGTGCATGTTTCTGATCTTATAATACCGTGAATTGGTACAAACTCCGGAGATCACAAAAGAGCACAACGAGGAAACGCTGGAGGGAAAACTTTACCGAACTCGCTAAATTCATCGAAGCACGTTCCATCTTCCAATTGTGACATGTCCGCAGAGAACTCGTCAGACCTCAACGACCCATTGTGTTGTTGCCAGCTGTCCTGCTGCAAAAGCTGTGATGGCTGCTTGGTAGAGCAAGGCCCTACAGTTGTCGTTGAAATCTTGGAGAATGGCAAAGGTGTTTCTTTGCCTATGAAGAGTGCACCGTCAGGAGCCTGAATAACTACAGAGAGCAATGGTGCACGAGGTTTGCCGTCTCTATCAAGTCCAACCTTGATTCTCTCCTCTTCCATTCTTTGCATCATTCCTTCCCCAAAGGGTATTTGCGCAAGATCGTTCCCCACCATTGACAAACTGCCACGGAGAATCTCCCGCCGCGCTTCTTCCGATATTAGCCTGTAAGGCGGCGGTTCTTCATCTATATCCCCATCCGTGGACACACTTTCTTCTTCGCTCTCCCCTTCCCCGTTCTCTTCGACTACCTCGTCCTCCATCCTCGCGCCTCCCTCCCACACCCTGTGTCTACTCCCTGTATCAAATCCAAATCCCTGCTCATCACCATCTCCATCTCTTCCTGTTAAAAGTGGAAGACGGTTCTCCTCATCCACACCTCCCGCTCCCTCTCCCCCTCCCCCTCCTGAACCTGCTGTCGCACCAGCGCTTCCATGCCATTCCGCAGGATTACAGTCATTCCTATGTCCAGCATTTCCTGCGAACCTCATATTCTCCATGGGCGAGACAGAGAATACCACCTCTTTCTCCCAAAATAAGTAATCACCCAGCTCAGACAAGAAACAAGCCAGCCTCACATCGAGAAAGAGAACCAGCTCCTTCTCCCAAAGCACAGATCTTATCCAGAGCACAGATGAGACGAAACCTCACATGAAGGGACAGGAAGCACTGCAACAGCACTTCTTCTGACATCACAACTCCAAGGGAAACGCAATGATGTGTCATCCATCTACTGACGATGCTGTTCGCGAACTCTCACCGCCGATCAGTTAATACCACCTCCACTCCCAGGCTGTTAGGAAACTCTCTCCAGCTGTGCCGTCATCTCTCTGTCCATCACTCAAATCCAGAGAGGAACGGCTATATCCACTGTCTAGTAGACACACATAAACCGACGACAACAAAAGAATCGCTGTTAGACCACATGAGGAGGGGCCCTCGAAAAATCTTATGTACATGTAACCGCAAGATCGAACTCAAGCGTACAAGCAATCACATGTTCCCTGATCAACAGGTAACCACCAAAACAAAATGTATTCCATTCCAGCCAAAGTCAGGTGCACCTGTGCGGCCAGCGAGTGACTGGGTACCTGCTAGCACTACATTGGACTGCATTATCATACTATCGGTTCTTGTGCTCATGTATGTTCTGAGTGTGCTTGCATGTGCACCTTCGGTGTGCTTGCATGTGTTCACGAGTGCTGGTGTGTTTGTGTTTGTGTTTGTGTTTGTGTTTGTGTTTGTGTTTGTGTTTGTGTGTTTGTGTGTTTGTGTATTTGTGTGTTTGTGTGTTTGTGTGTTTGTGTGAGTTTGCATGCGTCTGTGCCTGTTAGTTAGTTGCCTCGTGTGTGTGTCTGCACTTTGAGAGAGAAAGAGAGAGAGAAAATTACAGGAAAACACAAACACAGACGACAGAAAGAGAGAGCGACAAACGAGAGAGACAGAGGGAACAAAGGGATAACGACAGTCGGAGACAAACACAAACATAGCGCGCGCGCGCGCGCGAGAGAGAGAGAGAGAGAGAGAGAGAGA